AAAAAAAAAGTTGAAGGGTGTTTATTGAAACTACATATTCCTTACATACTCTATTAATTGTCACATGCTCACAATTTTTTAAACTTAAGTGTCCTTATTTAAGTTGTTATTTTTCACTTCTAAAGGAGCATTTAAAACTTTCTTATTCAATTTTAGTTTTTTTTCTTTAAAACTTCTTATTCAATTTTATTCTTATTTTGTCTCTTAAACAAAGACTCCTTTTAATTATCAATGTTTTTACTTTAAAAAAAAAGCAATTGAGACTAAGTAAATATTTATAAGAAAATTTAATTAAATGTGTCTGACCATCTAAACAGTCCAATGATAATTTGTCATAAGTTCAAGTTCGAGGTGCAAGCAAGTGAATGATATGGATGAAAAAGGATTCTTTTTAATTTGTATTTTTAAGGTATAAATTAAAAATATTTTTTTATCATAAATTTGTATAAAAAAAATTTTTAAATGATATTAATTTTAGTTTTGTTCTTACATAAATAAATTTAATTAGATAATTGATAAATTAAAATTTTATTTTTGTTTTTTCAACACATATATGATGAAAAAATATATTTATTTTATTTTTAATCTGTACTTTAAATACATAAGTTAGCAAAACCCTTAAAAAAATGAAAGAGAGTTATATTCTATTAGGCAATTCAAAATAAAAAATAATACTCACTTCGATCAGATTTATGTGTCTTAATTTGAGTTTTGGATAAAGTTTGATGAGATAATTTTATATAATAAATACTTCCTCCATTTTATAATAATTGTGGTATTTTTACCTTCCTTCAAATTTAAAATTAAAAAACAATAGTCATTTTGGGATCGAAAGGGTAGATGACAATTGAAAATTTTTTTTCTTTTATAAGAATTACGTATTTTCATTTAGATAAAAAAATTCAATTGCCATTTATTTATTACATAAAATTGTCAATTTAATTTACATTAAATTAAAGAATTGAAACAACTAAAAAAGACATGAAGGAGTATTTTTTTTATATTGTATTGTATAATGAGACGTAATTTTTTTATTTATTTTTTAATCTTATTTTACTCATATATTATGCAACTTAAATTTAAAATTTTTTATTTTTATAAAAAAAATTATTATTTAATTATTTATGTCATTGATAACTATAGAGAGTATTAAATGTGTTGATAACGTGCAAAAACCAAAGGTATGCCAAGAGTAAGTAAGGGCGTTTAATGATAGTTCTAACTTTTGCCATGGGGTAATGAAACTTCTTACTTTTATTACGGAGACTTCAATTTTTTAAAGAGAAAAGAGGAAGAGTAAGGAATTTTACTTAGAGAAATTTTTTTTTTTGGGTTGCGTATATTATATTAAAGTGCTCAAAGTATACTTAATTACAACAAAGTGGGAATCCTCATATGGTTTTTTGGTTTTTTTAGCAGGTACAATTTTGGAGTTGGAGAATGGGAAATTTTAACATGGTAGTGCTATATATTAAAATTTGGTCAATATTAAGATATTATATATTAAAATTTAGTCATTATTAAAATATTAAATTTATCTAACAATTTACTTATAACATTTGGTGCTTTTTTTCTTTTAATTCAGTACACTTTCCACAATGAAACATGAGTATGGTTATTACTAAAAAAATGTTATGATTATGTAAGTATATTGTTTTTTTAATAATTAATTATAGTATTTAAATATTTTAGTCTATTAATTGATTTTAGTTTATTAATTAATAAATATTAATTATTTCTTTATTTATTAATTAATATAATTATAAA